GACTCTGGTTTGAAGTGAAGTGACTCCAGACTGACTGAAGTGAAATAGTAAAGTGACTCTGGACTGACTGAAGTGGCTCTGGTTTGGAGTAAAGTGACTCCAGACTGACTGAAGTGAAATAGTGAAGTGACTCTGGCCTGACTGAAGTGAAGTGACTCTGGCCTGACTGAAGTGAAGTGACTCTGGACTGACTCTGGTTTGAAGTGAACTGACTCTGGTTTGAAGTGAAGTGACTCCAGACTGACTGAAGTGAAATAGTGAAGAGACTCTGGACTGACTGAAGTGACTCTGGTTTGGAGTAAAGTGACTTTGGCCTGACTGAAGTGAAATAGTGAAGTGACTTTGGCCTGACTGAAGTGAAGTGACTCTGGACTGACTCTGGTTTGAAGTGAACTGACTCTGGTTTGAAGTGAAGTGACTCCAGACTGACTGAAGTGAAATAGTAAAGTGACTCTGGACTGACTGAAGTGGCTCTGGTTTGGAGTAAAGTGACTCCAGACTGACTGAAGTGAAATAGTGAAGTGACTCTGGCCTGACTGAAGTGAAGTGACTCTGGCCTGACTGAAGTGAAGTGACTCTGGACTGACTCTGGTTTGAAGTGAACTGACTCTGGTTTGAAGTGAAGTGACTCCAGACTGACTGAAGTGAAATAGTAAAGTGACTCTGGACTGACTGAAGTGACTCTGGTTTGGAGTAAAGTGACTTTGGCCTGACTGAAGTGAAATAGTGAAGTGACTTTGGCCTGACTGAAGTGAAGTGACTCTGGTTTGAAGTGAAGTGACTCTGGTTTCTGCTGTGTGTTTCAGCTCAGTGCAGGATCTGCAGGCGTGTGCGCGTGTGAGCCGCTCCCGGGCCGAGGGCATCTACCGCTGCCTGCGCTACAGCTACTGCTGCTAATGCTAACTCACTCACTCTCTGCACTTTAACACATTATGAACTATTGATTTATTATGATGATGTCACACAGACGGGGAATAATCAGGATTATATCGTGATGTCAGTATGTGTGTGTTTTCTGTTAAGGAAAGTTCTGTACAGATCGAATTATGAATGTTACCATAATGGTAATTCTGTCATGAAGTATTTATGTTTACAGGGGCCATTTTTAGAAATAAAAGAGCTCTCTGTTTTTAATAACTTCTCAGCTGTTTTCTCCTTCAGCATAACTGTGTGTGTGTGTGCGCGAGACTGTGTGAGTGTGAGAGAGAGAGTGTGTGTGTGTGTGTGTGTGAGAGACTGAGTGTGAGAGAGTGTGTGTGCGAGAGTGTGTGTGCGAGCTTGTGTGTGTGAGAGAGAGAGTGTGTGTGTGTGTGTGTGTGTGTGCGAGACTGTAAGCGAGAGAGAGTGTGCGCGAGACTGTGAGTGAGAGAGTGTGTGTGTGTGCGAGACTGTAAGCGAGAGAGAGTGTGCGCGAGACTGTAAGTGTGAGAGATTGTGTGTGTGCGACACGAAGTGTGAGTGTGTGTGTGTGAGAGAGACTGAGAGTTTGAGTGAGAGTGTGTGTGTGCGTGCGAGTATGTGAGAGTGTGTGTGTTTGAGTGTGTTACTTAGTGTGTGTGTATGTGAGTTTAAGTGTGTTACTGAATGTAAGAATGTGTGTGTTTGAGTGTGTTACTGAATGTAAGAGTGTGTGTGTGTGAGTTTGAGTGTGTTACTGAATGTAAGAGTGTGTGTGTGTGTGAGTTTGAGTGTGTTACTGAATGTAAGAGTGTGTGTGTGTGTGTGTGTGTGTGTGTGAGTTTGAGTGTGTTACTGAATGTGAGAGTGTGTGTGTGGATGTGAGTTTAAGTGTGTTACTGAATGTAAGAGTGTGTGTGTGTGTGTGTGTGTGTGTGTGTGTGAGTTTGAGTGTGTTACTGAATGTGAGAGTGTGTGTGTGTGTGTGTGTGTGTGTGTGTGTGTGTGTGTGTGTGTGTGTGTGTGTGTGTGTGTGTGTGTGTGTGTGTGTGTGTGAGTTTGAGTGTGTTACTGAATGTGAGAGTGTGTGTGTGTGTGTGGATGTGAGTTTAAGTGTGTTACTGAATGTAAGAGTGTGTGTGTGTGAGTATGTGAGTTTAAGTGTGTTTCTGAATGTGAGAGTGTGTGTGTGTGTGTGTGTCAGGTTGAGGTCTGGGTTTGAGCCACTAGAGGCCGCTGGACTCCACTGGATCTTCATCACGGCTCTTCATCATACGAGCGCCAGTACTCAGCTGGTAAAGTGTGTGTTTGTTCTTAAAGCTGTAATAAACGACACTGGGATCAGCACAGAAGGCGTGTCGTTCATTCCAGCCAAAGTCAATCCTTAACAAAGACAAATAGACTAATCTTCCATATTCATGTATTCGCTGCTGAAGTGTGTGTAACACGTGTTCCCTCCAGATTCATGAAGTAAAGACACTGACATGCAGGCATCAATCCATCTCATTCTATTTACATTCATAATAATACTGGAGAACAAAAACAAATGATGCAAATGTATCATATATATACAGGAATATGTCGATTACAGTCGTGTCAGCAACTAGTCACATGTTTAAGGTGCGTGTCGAGATTAAATAACATCTAGAAAATGTTTCTGTGTATGTAAACATGAAGGACCATGTGACCGTTTCTGGAACAATCGTCCGATCTGCTGGTCTGAGATCATGTAATCGTGACATCAGGAATCAGCTCTTCTGATCTTGCATTTAAACATTTACTTTTACAATCAATATGTCAAATGGTGTAACTGTGAAGAGAAGCATGAGAGTAATACGCAATATCAGGAAACGTGCCAAACTTGTACACTACGGTTCAGAAGCTTAAGCTCGTGTCTGAGAGAGTCTCTTCTGCTCACTAATGCTGCGTTTATCTCATCAAAAATACAGTAAAAACAGTGAAATATTATTATAATGTGAATATACAGTAAAGTGTAATTTATTCCTGTGATCAAAGCTGTATTTTCAGCATCATTACTCCAGTCTTCAGTGTCACATGATCCTCCAGAAATCACTCTAATATGATGATTTTATGATTTATGATTATTATCAGTGTTGAAAACAGCTTCATATTTGTATGGAAATTGATACATTTTATTTTTCAGGATTCTTTGATGGATAGAAAGTTCAAAAGAACAGCATTTATATGAAATAGAATCTTTTGTAACATTATAAATGTCTTTACTGTCACTTTTGATCAATTTAATGGATCAGTGATGAATTAATTATTAATTTAAATAATTAAATCATTTAAATATAAAAAAAAAAAGATGCACCCCAAACTTCTGAACGGCAGTGTACCAACATTAGGGCAGAGGCGTTAAAATTCAACTTTGTATCTTATTTACCTCTCAAACATTCAGTGTTTTCATCAAAGACTTTCACTTTTTAAGAATTCAGATACAATGATTCCTGTTGCAGCATTAAAGGAGCATTTGACACATCTTTCCTGACAGTGTGATAAACAGCCAGTGTGTTAAGACTAAGACTGTCTTTGACCAACTCGCAGTTATTGGATGTAATCTAATGTATCCAATCTACCTTTTTATGCAACTGAATTTGAAAAGTTATGAGCAGTCTTGGAGAAGAAGAAAAAATTACATGACAACCTTGTAATACTAGTCTAAGCAGTTTATGCCACCAGCCACAGGATGGAAGAAATTAGTTTCAGACATGTGTTAAGTTCACAAGCTCGTCTGATCCATCCGTGCGTCAGGAGATCCTTCAGTAGAGCATGGCGCTTGCTACGCCAAAGTCACAGGTTCGATTCCCAGGGAAAGAAGGAACTGATCAAATCTTAAGGCCGGTTCACACCAAGAACGATAACTTATGAGCGTCCACACCAATGCATGAGAGCGCTCTGTTTATAATAAGTGCGCTGTCGCTTTAAACGCTCAAGCGACCCTCTGGAGCTCTTCGCGTGCCGGTCAAAAATGACAGATTTTTTTATTTTATTTCAATGAAAGGAATGTACCATATTTTAGTTTGATAATGTTTTTCATTTAATATTTTGTATTTTTAGGTGATTTTATGGTACTAAATTATATTTACGCTGTATTTATAATCCATTTATTCACTTTTTGAGCATAGACCTGATAGCTTTGAGCTTAAACTGTGGTAAATCTTGAATGCTTTAGACCACAGACTGAAGTTTGATCTCTTTTTAAAGACGACACTTGGCAGATTATTGCTGAAGTGAAAAAAAATATTACATTTATTGTTATGAAAAATGCATTTTTCAACATTTTGCAGCCGTGGTGTGCCGGCTTTTTTCCCTTTTTTTTTGAAAAATGCACAAAAATACTATTTTCATTTTAATCATAAATCTAAACAATTTGTGTTCCAAATTTGAGCTTGATATCTTGATATATAAAATATTAGCGTTCAGTCAGAGTGTGTTCGGCTGCAGTACCAAACGCTTCCACTAGATGAAATTCGTCTCCCATCCAGTTCTGACCGCGAGGAGCGCAAGTGTGACTCTTGTTTTCAGGACCATTTAACCTTTTCGAATCTACAGCAAGTGCCAAAACCTTGACCAACCTTCGTACCATTCCAATTAATCAAAATAAAAACGTAACATTTTTCAGTCAAAAATGAGCAAAGAGCACCAGATGCCGGGTTCAGACTACACAATATCTTTGCCTGTTACAGTAGCCATTTCAGATTACACTGTTTCCTGACCAATCATTGTTCCTCTGTGTCATTATCGTTATAGTCGTGCTGGGAACGATTTTAAAAACTATTATCTTCATCATAATAGTTATCGTCTTTGGTGTACCTCTGGGAATCCTCGAACCCAATGGAGACTCAGTCGTCCCGTTATTTCAGTGGTCCATCAAACATAGAGAAACGTAAAGATGAGCGAGGTCATTCTCCAGCCTGATTGGCCCTTGTGTTCACTGCCCTGTTCTCTATTGGACAGAAAGCCGTTCGGTCGCAGGGCTCATGGACTCGCAGTCCTTCGCTCCTTCGTCCTCGCGCATGTACATGAGGAAGAGCGTGACGGTGGCGAAGGTGGTGGCGTTCACGGGGAACGCCCTCAGGAGAGTCGAGGTCAGGCCGCGAGTGAACGCCCTCCACCCCTCCCTCCGCCAGCTCTGGCGCACGCAATCCACGATCCCGCCGTACCTGTTGGCTCCGCCCACTCCGTCAGCCTGGAGGCGGGACTTAACGACGTCCACCGGATAGGTGGAGAGCCAGGACGCGATTCCCGACATGCCTCCCGCCAGGAGCAGCTTGGGAATGATGTATCCGTCGTCGGCTTCGCAGCGTAGCGATCGCGTCAGCGTGTCGTACGTGAGGAAGTAGATGCCGAAGCCTGGCGTCTCGCGGATCACGGTCGTCACCATCCCTCGGTTGATTCCCCGGATTCCCTCCTTCCGGTAGATTCGGATCAGGCAGTCCAGGGAGTTCTTGTAGAGCCTCCGGGTCGTGTTCTTCTGGCCCGTTCCTTGCGTCTGCATGCGGGTCTTGGCGAGCTCCATCGGGCAGCAGATGATGCACTGGATTAGCCCGGCCGCCGCGCCCGCTAGGAACTGGTGCCGCGGCGTATCCGCGCCCAACATGCGCATGGCGTTCCCCTGGACGCCGAACACGATGGCGTTGATGAAGGTCAGGCCCATCATCGGGGAGCCGATGCCTTTATAGAGACCCAACATCTGGAGAAACAGAAAGGGTTAATGAGGGTTAATGAGGGTTAATGAAGAGCGAAGGGTTAATGAGGGTTAATGAAGAGCGAAGGGTTAATGAAGAGCGAAGGGTTATTGAAGAGCTATAAGGGTTAATCCCAGCCAGCAATATCTGTCATTTCTCCGTCTCGGTGAACTATAGACCCGGTATAGTCCGGCTGTAAGTTACACACTTCTAGCCAAAATAACCTTGAATTTGGTTGTCGTTTTTGCCAAAATAACTTTTTATGATATTCCATCATGTACTAAAGTAAACAGTGATTACAAGGTGTTTGGTTTCATTTAATTTGGTGTTTAATTTCTTTATCTAATTGATGACTGGTCTATTCTCGGGCTGTGGTTTAGACCTTGCCTTGTTTTAGCCCAGACGTCAGGCTGGACGGATATTAGACGCTTTAATTATCGCAGAATTGCTTGCTGGGATGTGTTCAGAACCTGAAACCCTTCGTCTCGGGTGTAAATATAGATGTTCCCTGAGCCAGATTTAGCTCTGCGTCTCGAGTGACTCCTGGAGCTCCGCTTATCGAGTTAACTACAGCTACTGACATTCATCATCCTGAACATCACTGGAAATGATCTGATTTAATGATCCGCCGTTCAAGAACTTTGTAAAGTTCAGTTCAGTTTATTCCTTAAGCTCATTTAAAGGTGTCTTTGTCACTTGTCTTGCTTAGTTGAGGACATTTTAATTTAATATTCAGCAATATTATTGCTCTCCTGCATTGACAGCATTATATGAGACTGAACTGAGCTGGACGATGACATCACGGTTTCTCCAGAGCGGATATACTGTATATATATATATAAATGGACTAAAAAAAAATTTAAACCTGACGGGGGTCGAGTGACTTTAAACATTCTGTACTATCACTGTTAAATGATCTGCAGCTCGAGAACTTTCAATGCTTGTTTGTAAAGACATCATAATCGAGTCTCCTTTATTTATACAGCGCTTTTACAGCACAGAGAGTTTCACAGCAGCTTTACTGAGATAACAGGACAATCATGACACACAGTGTGTGTCTAGAAGAGAATAGCGTCACAGTCCAGCTTCAGTCAGTTCAGTGATAGTTTATTTTTGTTGTAAAAAAAGTTAATTTATATATATATAGCGGCTCTGGAGAAACCGTGATGTCATCGTCCAGCTCAGTTCAGGTCTCATATAATGCTGTCAATGCAGGAGATTAATAATATTGCTGAATATTAAATTAAATGTCCTCAACTAAGCAAGCTAAAGGCGACAGAGGAGCCATAACTCCATCAGTGGCAGAATGGAGAAACCCTCGAGAGGATCCAGACTCGTCTCAGTTCAGTAGTAATAAATCCCACTCACTGTTTCTTGCCGAACGATGGACTGGAAGCAGTGGTACGTCCCGCGATACAGGGGCCTTTCCACACTCTGGACCTGCAGTCGCACCTGAAACACACAGCGCTGCTCATTACACTGGACCCGTGCGAGGAGCGCTCGACAAACAGCAGAACGACTGAAAGAATAGATCTGGGTGGTGTTTGTCCTGGCTGTGTGTGGATTTACATTCAGTGACAGTCCAGTCCAGTGAAACAGAGGAATTGACCTGGTCTTTACTTACGAGGGTAAGCCCCGAGCGGCCGGCGTAACCGCCTCTCTCTCATCTACAACAAAGCAATACTTCTGCCGTGAGAGACCCTTCGGCTGAGAGGTTTGGTCAGGTTACAGGATCAGGGCAAGACGAGAGAAGAGTCCTTCACTTCAGAATGGAAATCTCCTGATGAGTTACTCTACGACGTCATCCAAGATGTTCATGTGTTTCTGTCCTCAGTTGAAAAGAAATGAAGGTTTTTGAGGAACACACTCCAGGGTTTTTATATCTTGGATG